ACCTTTTATTTTACAGCTTATAAAGCATGCATGCACATTAATGCAATATCATATTTAAACAACAAAACTGTTTACAAAAGTCTACATATGCGTGCGTTGTTGTCTTTTCATCACGCAGCACGCGCACTTGAGCCGCGATGGAGAGAGGAAACCATATAGCAAGACATAATCTTTAAAATAATGATTTCTATTAAAATGTAAAAGGTTTTGTGATTATAATAATAACAGCGGGGCATTAAATAAATGCATATTTTCCGTGGAGCGAGCGATTTGAGGAAGTCTGCTATTTTATTTGACGGAAGACAAAAATATAATTGGAAAAAAACAGCCTATGCCGGTAATAAAAAATAATCAGTCAGTGTTTTCGTTTTGTAATATAAATTAATTATTTACGTGGAAAATAATTTAGGGCAGTCCTATTTATTTTATTTATTTTATTCATTTTATTCTGCTCTTCTGTGCTAAACACTGCAGGTGCGTGAAGATGCTCTGTTGTATTGTTCTATTATTAATATGCTAGCATACAAAAATAAATCAGTATTTTAAAATGCAATATTTAATGTGTCAGACACAAAATAGACCCGTCAATTTGTTTAATATAAAATTTATAGTAATCTGACCAGTTAACCGTTAATAACCGATTAATGAGCGGCGGTTGTCGGTTAGCAAAATTAACCGAAATGAGCATCCCTAGTCCCAAGTGTCTTGCACGCTGGCCATGGGCCAGTGGGCAGTCCTTATTGTTAAGCCCTGATATGCTGTCATGACTTTGCAATCAATAAATGTGATTATAATGGAAGTCAATGAGGCAAAAACAGACACCAACATCATCCAAGGGGGAGTCAAAATACCCAGTGCATTGTTGAGTTTTGAAAATTTTCAAAGCATTTTCCCAAAATATGTGTCAAAATAAGATTTGCAACCAAAAACAATTCTTTTAGCTGAAACAGAGAAAGTTGTGGCCAAATGAAGACCCAAAATCAGCCCAGAGTGGATGAAAATGACCCAACAGCACACAAGCGTTCACTAAATGCTAAATTAATGCTTTTATTGATGCTCAGAAAATGCTTCAGTCCTAAACGCTTTTGTCCTCAGAGATAGATTAAACTGGAAGAGGGTACAAAATTAACTAAAAATTAACTATTTACTTTGTATCACTGCTCTATTGTATTTAAGCAATGCTTGTGGTTTATTATATTTTATTGAGGCACACTCCCTTACAAAATCATCCAGATCAATCTAGAATCAAAAAGTCTTTCCAAACGGAGCCATTCACTTCATCTGGTCAAAGTATACTCAATATCACAATATTTATTGCAGAAATATTAAATGCGAGTTTTTTTTTTCCAACATTGTGCAGCACTAATGCAAGATGGCAGGTGTTATTAATAAAAATGGTTTGTTCATATATTATTTTGCACACAAATATTGATTATCGGTTGGCCCACATGGTATACATGCACGCAGAAATCCGCAGATTTTTAACCCATCATTAGGTCTATGTACTTGTATAAATTTAGATTTACTCAGATTTTAAATTAATTTTAGTACTATTGTGTGATATAATAATAGTAATATTAAAATGTTTATATCTTCATAAGATTTATAGAGTTTGTAAAGTAATATTTTCTGTATTTTAGTAGATATTTTATTTAAGAGACTTGCTTTGCTTACCAAATAAGTGGATCTAATTGGATTTGCATTGTAAACATTTTTAAAAAAGTTAAAAAAAAAAAAAAAAATTTTATTTCATATATTAAGTTTTTTTGTTGTTGTGATACTCCTAAAATTATTCTGCATGAATCCACAGTTTTTTTTTTTTTTTTTACAAAATTCTCAGCAGAAATAGCATGAATATATCCACAGATTCAGTCTGGCTCTTGTTATCGGGCACAAAAAACACTGATAATTATTATTATATATTCATTGTCCTTCAGTTTAGAACCTTTATTCAACAGGGGTTGCCACAGTAAAATAAACCGCCAACTATTCCAGCATGTTTTACACATTGGATGCCCTTCCAGCTGCAACCCAGTACTGGGAAACACCCACACACACTCATACACTAGGGCAAATTTAGTTCATCAGTTCCCCTATAGCGCACGTGTTTGGACTGTGGGGGAAAGCGGAGCACCCGGAGGAAACCCATGCCAACACGTGGAGAACATGCAAACTCCACACAGAAACGCCAACTGACCCAGCCGGGACTCGAACCACTGACCTTCTTGCTGTGAGGCTACAGTGCTAACCACTAAGCCACCATGCCCCCCATAATTAGTATTAGATAGTTGCAAAGTCGATATATATCAATCTCACACAACACTCATTTCTACAGAAACACTGAACAACAAATACAGACCACTGCAGACAGCTGAATCTCTCTTCAGCTCATATGAAAACATTTCTCACGGCCACTTTACAACATCCAGCCCTTTCACAATCACAAAAATACAGCCGGGTATATTTCAGTACTACACTGACTTTTGGATGAGCTGACACTCCGGCAGCATCTGTTCCTATTTCAGAGCTTCAAAACAATAATTAATAAGTAAATCAGTGAGCGAGTGCGAGCGGTGTTATAAAACACTCCTAAAATATGCAGGTAAAAAGCACTGGTGGAATCACAGCATTAGTTACTTATTTAACCAGGACGCCGCCCTCAGGAAACAAACACAAGCCAATCAAGGAATGTGATTTTCATACTACATTAAAGTCAATTCAACAGTTCAATTTAATTCATTTTTACTTCAATACAGCACTTTTTACAGTGTAGATTGTGTTAAAGCAGCTTAACATAAAGTAAAACTGCTAAATAATAATAATGATAATAATAATAATAATAATAATAATAATAATAATAATAATAAACAAAAATTAAATATTTTAAATAACAAAAAATAAATAAATAAATAAAAAATACCACTGAATTTGATTGAATAACACTATTATTATTTTATAGAATTAGCTGATCAGGATTAAAACCAATCATTAATAAATTAATTAAATAAATTTATTTAATAGACAAGTTAAATGTTTTAATCAATAATAATTAGATTAAATATTAAAAATATTAAATTTTTTATTTAATTATAAATAACAGGATTAAAACTTATATTATTAAAGTTTGTTTTAAATAAATGCACAATATATTAAAATTGATTTGAATATAAAATACGAAGTTAATAAAAATAATTTGATAAAAATAAAAACATAATTAAACCAAGACTAATAAAATTAAAATGACTGACTATAAATGACATAATTGGGGATGCTCTGATCGATTGGCCAAAGATCGGCCGATAATCACATTTCATGGCTCGATCGGTACTCGTTGATGTACCGATTGCAAGTATTTGTTTACAAGATTACAAGCAGAGGAAGATGTATCCAGGTTATGCATCAGCAGAGCTACAACACATGAGCAATGTTTCCAAATTGCATTATATTTCTTACCATTTTTTAATATGTTTTATCTATTTTATTTTTGTAAAGCTGCTTATGACCATTACATGTATGCAAACATCCTGAATTTATTATCTTACGTAAGGCGAGATCTCATACCTAAAGGGAAATTGTGCTTATGCAAAGTTATTTAAAACTTGAAGAATCAGAATCAGTACCCAGTCTCGGCCGATCACCATGACAAGGAATCGTTACTCGGTATCTGCTGCAAAAATCCTGATCGGAGCATCCCTACAATTAATTAGGTTTAGTAAATGAGTCTAACAGCGCATTCAAACAGGGCTTCAGCATCAGTGCTTGGGTGTGTCTAAAGTTGGGGCTGACGCGATTGTCATAGCAGCGTCAGCCAATGAAATTAGTCAGCAATCGGCTACTGTCTGAGTTGGTGTATTTGCATACAGCAATTTGATTGGCTGACGCTTCCATCGGCACTTGAAAAGTTGAGGAAGTCCCAACTTCTGCAGCGAGCAACGCCACTGAAGCGCCGCTGACGGATCCACAATGCAGTTCGGCAACACCTGACGTCACCTATTCAAAATTAATGGAAATTGTTGACGCTGACGTGTTGATGCTGATGTGAATGGGGCGTAAAAGAAATTGCAATGTGACCAAAAATATTATTATATTTTATCATATTTAATGAGCCAGTAGTTTCATAAATAATTTTAGTCACTTTTGATAAAATTATTTGCTAAAGTTTAAATGCATTTTACATTTAGTGTTTAAAATTAGCAATAGTTCTAAATATTACTATTTTAGATATATTTTTCACAGTTTTTATATAAGAAACTACATACATAGAGTCCTCTTATTTGAGTTTTAGGACACTCAAACAAGCACACTGTATTATTAAAAACATATCTGGCACAGTCTACAAAACCCCAGCTACTCTAATGTATTTCTAAGAATAACATGTCCAAAAAAAATCATGGCAGCCCCACACACACACACTCACACAAACACACAACAATAGTATTATATAACACAGTGAAGTGATAGATACATTAAAGGAGGTGATATTAGATGGTACAACTGTGATATATCGATACACACCTTAATAAAGTAATTCATTCACAACTCAAATGGAAGTATTGTGGCAACGTTACATACCCAAAAACATAAAGTTTAATTAAATTCACATTAATGAAACGTATCTGAAAGTACTCCAGCGCAAAATATGTCATACCCTATCAAAACAGCGCGGTGTCACCAGTAATGTACTTTAACGTAAGCTCTTTTTCTTGAATAAACGCATCCACGTAAGCACCTGCATTTTAAGTTATTTACCCCTAAAAATGACCTGTCAGTGCAAATTAAACAAACCACACGAACAGCAGCGAACATCGGGTTCGCATCGCGTCTGTGCTGTCGTTAAGAGGCGTGTTAAGTCACCGGGACTCGCGAACAGCAGCACCCGTCTGTCAGTCACTCGAGCTCGGTGATCAGCCGCGGCCTACACCGCCTTGATGAATTATGACGCGATAAACCCGCTTACATCTTACCGAAAAAAAACTGCAACGTTAGCGCAGCTCTCTTACCTTTGAATTTCAGGTCATTCGGAGGATCTAGGACGAGAATTTGCTCCAGTTTGGACATATTCGGGCCGCGAAGAGACGCTCGGTTCCGGAGAGCAGCTGAAGAACAGCGCGGTCAATCCGAAACCCTTCACTGAGTCACAGGCGCGCGCGCGGGGCGGGCTGCTGCTCTCGCTCACACTCTGCTGGAACCAGGGCTTTTACGTTTTTTTTTAACTAAACTCGATTTATTAGCTCCATATTGGAAAAGAAATTCAATATAAATTGTAAATTCAATATTAGCTCGGTCTCGTGGACAGTGAACCCATAACATTCTTCACATTTAACGAAGATTCTAGAAACTTTTCTGTAAATATGCGTATTTCCCAGGATTTGCTTTTTATAGAGTCTAACACAAATATAAATGAAAAATAACCTCAGTTTCTCTTTTATTTATGTATTTTCAGAATAAAACACATCGACATTGACAACATTTCTTTAAAACAATTCTTCAAAATAAACAGTTTGGGAAAATAAGGATTAGTTGTGATTGAAAGTCAAGCTTATTCCAGTCAATACTGAATTAATTTATTTGAACTTAAACTTAATATAAATATTGTTTATGCAGTTTTAAGTTTAGCTTATTTACATTTCCAGAGCAGAAATACTTTAAATAGTTAAAAATAATTACAAATTTCCAACATAAATACTATACAATAATTTCCCAACAATTTCAAACAGGCTGTAATATATATATATATATATATATATATATATATATATATATATATATATATATATATATATATATATATATATATATATATATATATATTTATTTATTTATTTTTTTTTTTACGTTTTTTTTTAACTAAACTCCATTTATTCATTCATTCATTTTATTTTTGGCTTAGTCTCTTTATTAATCCTTGTCGCCACAGCGGAATGAACCGCCAACTTATCCAGCACGTTTTTACGCAGCAGATGTTTTTAGAGCACCCAGAGGAAATCCACGTGAACGCAGGGAAAACATGCAAACTCCACACAAAAACGCCAACTGTCCCAGCCGAGGCTCAAACTAGCGACCCAGCGACCTTCTTGCTGTTAGGCAACAGCACTACCTTTTGCGCCACTGCGTCACCATATTTATTTATTTATTTTTGTGTTTTTTTTTTTTTTTTACTAAACTCGATTCATTTGCTCCATATTAGAAAATAAAGTTGTAAATTCAATATAAACTCGGCCTTGTTGACAGTACACCCATAACATTCTTCACATTTAGGGAAGATTCTAGAAACTTTCCTGAAACTTCCTGGTATTTACTTATTATAGGTTACACAGTTATAGAAAAAATAATCTCAGTTTCTCTATCATTTTTGCATTTTTACAATTTTTAATAAAACACATCGTCATTTACAACATTTCTCTAATTTTTCTAAATGACAGTTTGCAAAAATAAGAAATGGTTTGATTAATTGTGATTGAAAGTCAAGCTTAATCCTGTCAATACTGAATTCACTTCATTAAACTTAAAATTAATATAAACATTTTTATGCCGTTCGAAGTTAAGCTTCAGTTATATGGTTTAGTTAAATACATTTCCAGAGGGGAAATAGTTAAAATAGTTACAGAATAATTACAAATTTCCTATTTAAAGATTATACAACAATTTTAAACAGACTGTAATATATATTTATTTATTATTTTTTATTAATCTAAACTCGATTTATTAGCTCCATATTGGAAAAGAAATTCAATATAAGTTGAAAATTCAATATAAACTCAGCCATGTGGACAGTGAGCCCATAACATTCCCCATCTTTTCTGAAAATATGTGTATTTCCCAGGATTTTCTTATTAGAGTACAATGGTTACACAGTGCACTGTACACATTACACATGCACTGTAAAACCCAAATAGTTAAGGTAACTCAAACAGTTTGAGGTAACCGATTGCAACAAACCATTTAAGTTCAAAAACTAATCCTAATGAGTGCTGTGAACTTAATCCATTTGAGTAAATGAAGCCATTTGAGCACAGTAAAGCCCAATAAATGAAGAGAACTCAAATTAACTGAGTACTGTAAAACCCAATAAGTTAAGGCAGCTCAAACCCTTTGAGGAAAGCGATTGCTACAAACCATTTGAGTTAAACTATATGAGTACTGTGAAATTAATTAATTTAAGTAGAAGTAATGAGGTATATAATGAACTCATTACCTTCAACACTGAGTTCAAAACTCTTTTCAAATGAGTAGAATGAACTTTCAGTACATTTTGAGTTCACTACACTTATTTCAGTTGATGAAGTGGACTGCTGGGTTTTACAGTGCAGCAGAAATAAACTCAGTTTCTTTATTATTTATGTATTTTCCAAATAAAACACATTGTCATTAACATTTCTTCATTAAAAACAACTCTTCAGAATGACAATTTGTGAAAATAAGAAATGTTTTGATTTGCTGGGACTGAAAGTCAAGCTGGCAGTGCGGTGGCACAGTGGGTAGAGCTGTCACTTCACAGCAAGAAGGTCTCTGGTTCGAGCCTCAGCTGGGTCAGTTGGTGTTTCTGTGTGGAGTTTGCATGTTCTCCGCATGAGTTTCCGGAGCTCCGGTTTCCCCCACAGTCCAAGCACATGCGGTACAGAGGAATTGGGTAGGCTAAATTGTCTGTAGTGTACGAGTGTGTGTGGGAATGAGTGTGTATGGATGTTTCCCAGAGATGGGTTGCAGCTGGAAGGGCTGTGTAAAACATATGCTGGATAAGTTAGCGGTTCATTCCACTGTGGTGACCCCTGATTAATAAAGGGACTTAGCTGAAAAGAAAAAAAAATAAGATATATATATATATATGCTTGTTTTTATTATGTCCATTGTATACAATATAAAAGTATATAAAATATCAAATAGGCAAAAATATTGTCCTTAACAATGAAAATAACATAGAAATAAACGCAAAGAAAAAAAGAGAGGACTTTATTTTTTTTATTTTTTTTTTTCATTGTAAATATGTACAAACTATGTTCAAGAATATTGAGGACTTTTGTTTGCGAAGTGGCGCTACATGTCGCTCTACGTCATCACGCTGCGTCGGCTACTGCTGTACACATGTGAGCAGAAGCAGACCTGAGGCAGACTGGTAAATTCCGAATGATTAATAAACTATTTTATGTGTTAATCACGTTGTATATCGTTATAATATGTATAACAGTTGATCGAGCTAATTTCTATAGTGTTTTTACGTGTTTTATTTGCTGTAACAGGATTGTCGTACAAGTACTGATATTCTTCGAAATACCGTGAAAACACCACAGAATCATTACAGTTTAATATATAGTGATTATTAAAATGCCATGATTACTTCGTGTTACTGCTGTGTTTTGCATAGTTTTACAATTGTTTATGTTTGTATCTCATAGAATATAAATATTTGTTATATCTTAGTTAATTATACTGTGTTTTTATTATAGTGAAAAATGAACATATTTTGACGCATTTCTATGGTTTAACAATCTTACTGTAATTTTTATAATACAACCCTTAACTGTTATTATAATCGCGGAATTATTTCACTGTTAACACACAGTCACCGGCCACTTTATTAGGTACACAAGTCCAACTGCTTATTAACGCAAATTTCTAATCAGCCAGTCACAGGGCAGCAACTCGCTGCATTTATGCATGTAGACATGAGCAAGAGGATCTGCTGCAGGTCAGAGTGAGCATCAGAATGGGGAAGAAAGGGGATTTAAGAGACTTTGAACGTGGCATGGTTGTTGCTGACAGACGGGCTGCTGTGAGTATTTCAGAAACTGCTGATCTACCGGGATTTTCACGCACAACCATCTCTAGGCTTTACAGAGAATGCTCCGACAAAGAGGAAATATCCAGTGAGCGGCAGTTCTGTGGGCGCAAATGCCTTGTTGATGAGGTCAGAGGTCAGAGGAAAATGGCCAGACTGGTTCCAGCTGATAGAAAGGCAACAGTAACTCAAATAAGCACTCGCTACAACCGAGCTCTGCAGAAGAGCATCTCTGAACACACAACACGTCCAACCTTGAGGCGGATGGGCTACAGCAGCAGAAGAGCACACCGGGTGCCGCTCCTGTCAGCTAAGAACAGGAAACTGAGGCTACAATTCACACAGACTCACCAAAACTGGACAATAGAAGATTGGAGAAACGTTGCTGCTCTGATGAGTCTCCATTTCTGCTGACACATTCTGATGCTCGGGTCAGAATTTGGCCTCAACAGCATGAAAGCATGGATCATCCTGCCTTGTATCAGCGGTTCAGGCTGGTGGTGGTGGTGTAATGGTGTGGGGGAGATTTTCTTTGGGTCCATTAGTACCAATTGAGCATCAACGCCACAGCCTACCTGAGTATTGCTGCTGACCATGTCCATCCCTTTATGAGCACAGTGTCTCCATCTTCTGATGGCTACTTCCAGCAGGATAACGCAGCATGTCATAAAGCTCAATCATCTCAGACTGGTGAACATGACGATGAGTTCACTGTACTCAAATGGCCTCCACAGTCACCAGAGCTCAATCCAATAGAGCAGCTTTGGGATGTGGTGGAACGGGAGATTGGCATCATGTATGTGCAGCCGACAAATCTGCAGCAACTGTGTGATGCTATCATGACAATATGGAGCAAAATCTCTAAGGAATATTTCCAGTAGCTTGCTGAATCTGAATTATTAAAGCAGTTCTGAAGACAAAAAGGGGTCCAACCTGGTACTAGCTAGGTATACCTAATAAAGTGGCCGGTTAGTGTACAGTACTATGTTATGCTGAAAAAGTAAATTAAGACATTGTTTTTGTTTTTAGGTTATTTAATTTACTTATGACATACTTGTCTTGAATGCTGTTAATAAATGAAGATATAATTCAAAATACCATATCATTACAGTTTAATTTAGTATTTATTAAAATAGCATGATTACTTGGTGTGTTGTATGGACATTTGTCATGAGTATAGCATTTTAGTATCTGGTTATTAGTAAAAATATAAATTATCCATGTTTTTTTATAGTGAAATAAACATATTTTTGGGGCATTTGTGTTTTAAAAGTAGTGGTCCAGATGGTATTTTTAAGGCTTGGTTGAGTTTATAAGATGCAAAGCAATGTGTGCTCATGCTTCATTTGTAGAAAATCTGA